GTGCGGGCCGCTGGGCACGCGAGCGGCCGGCACGCCACGCCTGCTGGGCCCCTCATGCTTGATCTTGGTCTGTCACGCCCCTGGTTGGCCATCAATTCAGCTGTGTGTGTGTGTGTGTGTGTGTTTGTGTGCGTGCGTGCGTGCGTGCTTGCGTGTGTGTGTGTGTGTGTGTGAGTGTGAGTGTGTGTGTGTGTGTGTGTGTGTCAGGTGTTCTCGAACCCTCTGCCGCCACACGCCTGCGAGCGAACCAAGCTGCGGTTGCGGCCAAACACTGTGCCTCCGCCCGAATACAAAACCGTCTTACTTGTCCCCCCCCCCCTCTTCAATCCCATCGCGCCCTGCCTCGTTTGACTCCACCCCAGGCATCGTCCCGACCACCAACCCGACCTCCACCACCATCTTCAAGGCGCTGCTCTGCCTCAAGACCCGCAACTCCCTCGTGCTCTGCCCGCACCCGCGCGCCCGCAAGGCCACCATCGCGGCCGCCAGGATCGTGGCGGAGGCGGCGGAGGCGGCGGGGGCGCCCGCGGGCGTGGTGCAGTGGGTGGAGAACCCCTCCATGGTCATGTCACAGGCCCTCATGAGGGTGCGCGGACGCAGCCCGATGCAAACCCTGGTTTCCCTTGGCGCAAACCAATGCGCCCAGCGGCGGGCGGATGCCCAATAATCAACGCTGGCTGGATGGGCGCCTGCGGCAGAGCCTGCGCCGCTGCACCCTGCGTCCTGCCTTTGTTCGCCTCTGACATACAGCCCTTACTGCATCAGCTGCAGCGGCTCAAACGGCTGGTCTTTGCCCACGTCATACTGACCTCCAACTCAACGCCCACTTGCCCCCGCCGACGATGCTCCTTGTTGTGGCAGGCCCCCGAGGTGTCCCTCATCCTGGCCACCGGCGGCCCCGCCATGGTGCGCTCCGCCTACTCCTCAGGCCACCCCTCCGTCGGCGTCGGTGAGCGGCTGGGACCGCGATTCGGTAAGGGGGGGCCTTATAAAGGACGCCCATTTGCTCGACCTGTCACACAATCAGCCCATGTTCAGGCTGCTCAGGGCGTGCGCCTGCTATCAGCAACAAATGCCATGCGTCCTCGCCGTCCTCGTCCTTCCGCGCTCCGCAGGCGCCGGCAACACCCCCGCGGTGATCGATGAGACCGCCAATGTCAACCTGGCAGTGTCCTCCATACTGCTGTCAAAGGTGGGCAGGCGCGGCGGTGAAAGTGGGGGCCCTGCGACCACAACAGCAGGGGGGATGATAGAGCCAGCGGAGCGAGAGGTGCGGGGGCGATTTTGAAGGGCTGCGTTTGGCGCCCGTCGTCTGGTAACGACACCTGCCGCTGTTGCACTGCACCCTGCCTTGTTTGTCGGACTTTTGCAGTATATGCCACAAAGTCCCAACACGACACGCACCCCAGCCCTAAGCGGCCCTTGACTATTTGATTTCTCTCCCCCTCTGCGCTCCTTTTGCGCCCACCCATTCTCCCCCCAGACCTTTGACAACGGCGTGATCTGCTCCACGGAGCAGAGCGTGGTGGTGGTGGACAGCATGTATGACGACATCAAGGTACGCAGCCGCACGGCGTACGTAACTAATGTGGGGGATGACTGTGGGGCGTAGGGGGACCTCTGCACCGGCTCATACTTCCTCTCGCAAATGCCCTCCACTCTCAACCCAGGCCGAGTTTATCCGCCGCGGTGCCTACTTCCTGAATGCGGAGGTGCGTGTGCCGCCTCGGCCGGCAGGGCGGCGCGGATGGGGTCGGTTGAATCTGGCGTGTCGGGGCGCAAACCTCCACGGATTCCCTCATCAACAGCCTCTCATTGGGACAGTTGACCGTAATTCGACCCAAGCGCATACATCATCAACAGGTGTCGCCACACCCGCCCAACCCGACCTCGTCTCACAGGAGAAGAACAGGGTGCGGGCCAAGATGTTTGTTGACGGCCGCCTCAACGCCGACATGGTGGGCCAGAGCGCCTACGGCCTGGGCAGGCTGTTTGGCGTCAACGTGGACAAGAAGTACAAGGTGGGAGGGTGTCGATGTGTGAGTGTGTACGGAGGGGTGGACAGGTGTTAAGGGATGACTGGGATGCCGGCGCATCCGCCCTGGGCCGCACGGGAGACAGAGGTTGTGGCAGGGCTGTGTGTGGTCGGCAGCAAGGCGTGGGCGGGCGCCTCTTGACGGGCAGGCGGCCGACGAGTGCCCAAGTTCTTGTGTGAAACCTCCCTGTGCTCGGCAGCAAACCACATTGCCCACCTCGCACCTTCTTCCAAACGGACCTTAGAGCCTGCTGCCCGATGCACCGCACCATCGCCTGCCGCCCCCCCCCCAAAACCAGGTGCTGATAGGGGAGATCCAGGACGTCGGGGATGAGGAGCCCCTCTCACACGTGAGCGCATGCACGCCGCACCTGCCGCGATGCGCACCCTCCTGCCGCCCAGCGCGGGGCGGGTGGCCCCGCGGGCGGGCTTGCCGTGTATTGCTCAGGGCTGCAGCACCCTCCGCTGTCCCCCGCACCACGTCTCATCAGCATGCCTCACTTCCTCGCCCATGCCGCCCCACGGCGTGACCCTCACTCCTTGTGTCCCCGCAGGAGAAGCTGAGCCCCCTCCTGGCCATGTACCGCGCCAAGGACTTCAAAGACGCAGTGGACGTGAGGGGGTTGGCTCGGAGGGGCGGAGGCTGGGGGGACTGCGGACGAGGGATGTCTCATTTTGGGGCCGCTGTCAGAGCCGGGCCTTGGTCTCCTGGCGCTAGCGCAACGCTGCGCGAGCCGGCTGCAGCTCGTCGGCCGAGCTTCCACGTGCTGCGCCGCCTGTGACACACCGATGCTGCTGCTCCCCAGTGCTCCCTCCATCTAGCCCCACATGGCAGCCCCACATGCCAGCGGCATCGCATTCCCCCCGCCCTCCCTCCAGATTGCGGACAAGCTGGTAATGTTTGCGGGTGCGGGCCACACCAGCGTCCTCTACACCAATCAGGTGCGCGCGTGGCCATGTTACATACGTGGCAGCCCCACCAGCACCCACGCCACAGCAACTTACTGGCATAAACGGCGGCCTGGGAACGCGCGTGGTCAGCCTGATGCAATGACCGATGTTACCATGTGCGTTCAGCACTCCTCCGGCGCTTCAGGGTGCCGCTTTGAGGAGGATTCCTCCATTGGCTCGCCGGCTTCCCCGCATCGGCCTCCCGCCCTCAACACACGCCTGCGGCTGATACTGACTGAGCTGCTACTCACTGAGTACCACCAACCGCCCACCCACCCGGTGCCGCGCAGCTCAACCGCGCTCACATGGAGTACTATGGCAGCCGCATGAAGACTGTGCGCATCCTAGTCAACACCCCCGCATCACTGGTGAGGGGGGCAAAAAGTGAAGACGGACGGGCGCGTGGAGACTGCTGGGGAGCGTGTACTTGAGTGTGCAATTGGGCATGTGGGCGCTCCGCCCCATACCATCATTGCCAAGCTGTGGATGCATATGCTGTGTCTGATAAGCCTTGAAAGGCGGTTTCCGCCGCGAACTCTTCACCTGGCGCAAGTGCTCACGCACTCGCCCCTTCAGGCGCCCCTCACCACACAACCTTGCACGCTGTTTCAGTGTTAGCCCACCCCGCACTCCCAACCCCGCCGCTATCCACAACACCCGCACGCACCCCGCCACCACCCGCAGGGCGCCATTGGTGACGTGTACAACTTCCACCTGGACCCCTCACTCACCCTGGGCTGCGGCTCCTGGGGATCAACCTCGGTGAGATGACGCACCGCATGGCTGGCCTTTGGGGCCACAAACACACCGCCAAAAGCACCCCAACCTGCGTCCCCCCCCCGGCGGGAGGCTTGGCAAGACAATGCACCATTGGCAACTTGCACCTCCTGTCACTTCACACAGCGTCTGCTTGCCGGTGCCTCGTTCTTCTTGGGCCCCTGTGGTGGGCAAGCCGAGCGGAGCCTCTCACCCAATACGGGGCATCACACATGCCGTCTCCCTGCCTCCTCCCACTTGCCCAGGTGTCCATGAACGTGGGCCCCAGCCAGCTGCTCAACATCAAGAGCCTCACAGAGCGCCGCGAGAACATGCTCTGGATCCAGCTGCCACCCAAGGTGGGGGTGGGGCAGCGACAGTGCAGCGCCGGGCCGCTGACGGCGCGCGCCTGTGTGGGCTGGGACTCGAGTTTGGAACGATCAGGCAGCCATGTTGCTCTGTGTCAAGAAATTGTGCAGGTTGCGGGGTGCTGGCCGCCCGGGGGCAAGGCAGCGGTCCCCAATCGAGCGGGTTTGGGCAGGCCTCTCGCACACCGCCCCTGGAAAGCACCGCACACCAACACCACGCCCCCTCGCCCCTCACTGCACCTGGCCCCCCACTTTACAGGTGTACTTCAAGCCGGGCTGCCTGGAGGTTGCCCTGCGTGACCTGAGGGGCAAGCAGCGCGCCTTCATCGTCACGGACAAGGTGAGAGGCAGTCGGTGCTGGGCTTCAGCATGGTCACATCTGAGCGGCGAGTTTGCTCAAGCATTGATTTCTTTGTGCATGTATTCTCTGTGTGATGCTTGTGTGCAGGATGCCAACTCGGCGCCGGCCATGCACTCTCACATCCCGACACCCTTCACCCCAACCACCCCACCGAAAGCCCCTTGGGCCCACACCACAGAAGCCAATCTGCTCCATATCAAACCTCCACCCTGCTGCTGAACCCTCGCAACCTTGCCCTTGCTGAACCCTCGCGACCTTTTGATTGCTGAATCCTTGCAACCTGCCCACCCCCCCACCCCCCAATATATGGCCCCCAGTACCTGTACGACAGCGGCCTCTCCAAGAAGGTGACCACCATACTGGACGACATCCAGATACAGCACAGGGTGCGGGCGAGGGCGGGGCCAGCGCGCACTGCGCTGTCCAAGGCATGCCTGCGCGGGGTTTTGGAGGGCGTGGATTGCAGTGCGTCGTAATTCTTGGCCAGAGGTGTGTCTGCTGGGGCGTGAGGGCACGTGTCAGAAGTTTGATTGCGGCCGTTTGCGCACTCACCAAAGGGTGTGACGCCCTGACGTCAAAAG